GTCAGCATGCTGACTTGCCATCAGGGACTCCAAGTAGTTCCTGCCCATGTAATATGGAGGCCTCTCGTTTATCTTCTGAGGCACTCGCTCCAACAGGCCCACGGGAATATATCTAAGAGATATAAGAAAACAATACAATTAATTTCTCATTATTTGACTTTGTTATGGGTACTAAAGTAAAAAGAAAAAAACAATTAAAACAGATTGATGTAATTATAGTACACACTGTTATAGGGACCCCTAAAAACCTCTTTTATTGTATGTGCCCCCAAAGAGCTTGATTCACTAGGATATCAGTAAGCATGCATGTTACAGGTTTAATGAGGATTAAAATAAAAAGTGCCATTTGAAAAAAAGACTGCTGTTTCAGACCTGCACATAAAGGAGAGCCACTCCAGCAGGAAGTTCCGGGTCTTTTCCACACCCTGAGTGTCAGAACCCCAGTGTTCCAGGCCAAAGTTGGTGAAATCCTTCAGGATATCAAGTCGCTCACTGGATGATATGTCCCAGTGCCGGCTCTCCTTTATCTCTGTGAAAATCCAAGGCTTGATGAGGGCCCCCCTGAGATAAACAAGACAAAACTTATTAAAATATTATACAATTTCCATAGAGCTCTTTAAATGAAAGGAATTATTATTAACAAGCTTTTTTTTTAAGTCTATTTATAATCAGTACTTTAAAATCTTATATTAGATGTTTAGTTTTCTAAATAGGTTCAAAATACGTAATTATATCTTCAACTAAAACTTGTACCTTTTTGTAGAAAGACCTTTGAGAAATGCCTGAGCTGTAGCATCACACTGAATTTAAAGATTAAATTCAGTTCATTTAAAATAAGAACAATCTAGTGGTTAAATCCAAAAGTGCAATAGAGACACACAAATTTACAAGAATGCCTCTGGGAGGATGAGCAGTTATTTTCAATTTTTTTCTACTTGTTAGGCTTTTTTTTTCTTGCACTTGTCAACTTCAAATTTAGAAGCGGCTTTGATGTGACGCAAACAATCACTCCTCTGTGGTCATTAATTTCCTCCCACTTTTGCACCAAGTAAACACCAGAAAAATGAGAACACTGCTGCTGCGTTTGCCCTTAAATCCAAATGCAGATCCATCCTGATGAGTGAAAACCATTAAAGTAAAAGAGGATGAATATTCTCCTCCATGGCTGTAAATCCACCTGCTCAGTGGTTCTCATCACTTTCTCAATAGAGTATGTAAAAAAACACCAACCTTGCAATCATGATACCAGAAACACCGGTCTCTCGTGCTTTCATGGCATCCTCATAAGACAGAATGTCTCCATTACCTGGACAAAAACAGGTTACAATAAGTTCAACTCAAATTTAAACCACATCCTAATATCTATAAATAGTTTTACAGCCTTGGATCCGCCTTTTGTTCTGAGTCTTTTTTTAAAACTCCACGTACCAAATAATGGAACAGGACTGGCCACCTTAGCACATGTGCTGATATAGTCCCAGTCAGCTAACTTTGTGTAGCGCTGTTCCCTGGATCTGCCATGCAGCTGTAAGAAAATAACATCGTTATAACTCCTGTATGTCAACCTCAATAATAAACAACCAGCCATGAAAGAGAAAAAAATATGAGGCAAAAACCTATGAAGCAATACTACACAGCAATCTATGTAGATAACAGAGATCTTTAAATTAAAAGCTTTACAAGTGCTTTTACATAATAAAAACACTTTGATTTTATTCAATCCATTAGTAATAATTACACTGTGAGTTACTGTACAATGTTGGATACTTTCAAACTTCCTTCAACCCTAAAATTGAGTAAAATGTCTAGGTGTGAAACAATTGGATTAATCAATTATTGAAATATTTATCAACTAATTTAGTAATCGATTATTCTTTAACTGGACTATAGAGACCAAAACATACCTTGAGCTGATACAGAAACCTACTTAGAGGAGTAATTATATCAAAATTGTAAATATATATGAATATTTTGCATTAAAATAAACTTTTTCATCAATATGTTCTTACCAGAACTCGGTTTTAGTTTCACCTGGTTTTATTCTGTAAAAAAAGCCTCTTTAAGGAATCTTTTGATATCTGATTATCAATTGGAAAAATAATCGACAAAATCGATTAGCAAAACAATTGTTAGTTGCAGCCCTAAATGTTTCCCTTCCCTTCGCCCTAAAACATGTAACTGCCATCAAACCTTTACGCGTGCCTCCTTCTAAGTGGAGACTCACCGTGATCATGGAGACACCCCAATTCTTCATCTCTCCTATAAGTTTGTGCGCAATGTTGGACTTCTCCTGCACACCAGTGCGGATCTTCACTGTTAGCGGGACATCAAGGACCTTCAGGAAGTGACGAGAGACACATTTTTAACCAGTCTGAGCTTTCTAGATATGTCAAACTCAATTTAAAACTTATTTCTTAATGTGGTTCGTTTTAAAACATCAGCAAAACAAAAATATATATTCTCTACTTACATAATTCATTCCCTTAATGATATGTTCAAATTTTCTGGTTCTGGTCATCAAGCCACATCCTCCACCCTGATGATGGAGAACAAATAGAAACAGTTAACAGGTTGTATAATAAGCTTTAATGGTTGTGCCATAAACTACAGTCTGTACCGATAATGGAAAACATATCTACGTGTTGGTTTTTATGAAATGAACTGTAAAAAACATGTTTTATTAAGTTTAAATTAGGCCTCCTAGGTGTTAAAACTTCCATTTTCAGTATAAAAAGCAAAGTCCACCCTGATTTGTACTTTAATAGAGGTGTTTATATCAACTTTAATGTTTATCCTGTTGAATGGATTTTCTTTACTTGAAATTCTAGTCCTCAGCCTGGATAACCTAAATGTTGAAATCCTCCCAGCATTTAAAAAGCTAAACTAGAAACGATGGGAGAAAAAAAAAAACTGTAACAAGTCTTGAGTATTTTTGGCCCTAAACTGAGGAAAAGAAACCTAATAGCTTTTTCAGGTCAGTGAACACACCATACATAAATCCTAACAACAAACTCTGATAAAGCCAACATTAAGCCTGCATGCTAGTGAAGCTAGATGAGTCAAAGTGGATTCTTCTGTGTCTATGAGGTGTTTAAAAATGAAGGCAGAGGAAGCATAAAGTAATCTAAAAGGAAACTGGGTTTTCCATGTGTTGAGAATCTCCTGTTCATCCAGGCTAGAGCCTCTAAAGAGAGAGGGACATCTTCAGTAGCCAACAGGAAGGCTGAATGGAGTTTAGTTTTTTACATTTATGCTGCAGCCTCAAAATTCTTTACAAAATCCCCCACTTTATGCTAATTAATACAATAAAAAAAAAGGATATTTTTTCACATGTATCCACAGGGTTTGTACAAATCTTTATTACCGGTAAAACACCTTTGACAGCAACTACAGCTTTGTGTCTTCATGTTTTTAGGGTGCTTTCAATTACTCCTCTCTGAAGACCCTGCCAAGCTCAGGCAGGTTGGATCTGCTGCACTGATATAGATATGTTTTTTCAGATATTCCTAGAAATTAACAAAGTAAAAATCTGTCTGTCAGAGACCCTTCTCTGACACTTAATGTTACATCCGCTATGAACTGCTTGTGTAAGAAAGGCCGGGCTGTGTGATGTGGTGGCTAGCACCGATTAGTCTCACATCCCAAAAACATGGCTGCTAATTGGTCTTTCTAAACAACCCTTAGGTTTGAGCCCCTGTTCACACCAATTAAGTTCCACAAAGGATGGAGGAAAGTTAAAAATATCAATTGTGAATGCTTTTAAGACAGTGTTGTAAAGATAATGCTTTGGAAGGTGAGATGCATCCACAAAAGTTTTCTCCTTTTCTCTGCCAAGCTTAAAGAGGCTAAACAACAATTCACCTTCTTATAAACAAGATCAATGGGGCATCCAGAGTTGATATCCACAAAATCAACATCAGTGTAGGTGTTGATGAGCTCAGCACACCTCGTCATGGTATCTGGAAAACAGCCTTCGACCTGCAGCAAAACATTAGCATAATGTTAATTCCAGAGAGAGAGACGCAGAATATGTCTGCAGAGGCTCGCAATAAGCCCGACGAAAGACCATCACCTGAACACCAAACAGATCTTCACTCTCATGCCTCTTCAGGAGGGCCCACTCTGACTGATGCCCCTGCAGCAGGTTTGTGCACATGGCCATCTCCCCACAGGTGATGTCTGCTCCAAAGCGTTTGCACACGCGACGGAAAGGCAGGTTCCCGCACTGACAACAAAACATAAAGTTGGATCTTTGTCAATGTACATCCACTAATTTTAATGTATTTATTAAGATTATATGTGACAAACAAAAAAAAAAAACAAAAAAAACTAGTGCATAATAAAAAAGCTTTTCTAGATAAGATAGAGATTTCTTAAAAGTGCAACTTTACTTTAGCAATAGCCCCAAATGATGGACTGTACAATGCTTTGGGAGATATTAAAAGCTTGTAATTATTTCATAAACCTCTAAGTCTGGTTACAAACAGGGGGAATCTATAACTGCTTTGGTGGCTTCTGGCTCCTACATGTTGCTCTGGATTTTACTCAGACGATTCAGAGTTAAGGAGGAAAAACAGCCATGCTCCATTTTTCTGATTTTCATTAGTTTTACTTCACATTTATGCATCACTTCATATTTAGTACACAATATCCCCCTGAAACAAATTAAAAAGTTTAAAGTTATAACAGAACTTCAAATAAAAATAAAATATAACGACTTATTTAAAAATTAATGTTCTTCATCTGTCCTACTTACTGTTGTTAGAGGAGCGAGATAGAGCTTGTCCCGGAAGTCAACCTTCAACATAGACAAATGTTTAAGAAATTAAGCTCAAACAACCTTGCAGCAACTTTTAACACACTTCATATAAATTAGCTTATAATGGTTTCTACAGGTTTCTGTAAAGAGGATTCTGTTATTAAATATAAAGAGGAACTTAAAAAGGAAGTTTGTCTGATATGTACCTTTTTCTTTTCACAGGATCGCAGTTTGATAACATCGGCATCTGTTAGTGGGCCAATAGTTTTCACTGGAGGCTGGCTGTCTGGGCTGGTGGGGAGCTAATAAGGGAAAAAACAAAAAGGCTAAGATTAATAAAAATAAATAAATAAAAATAAAAATGCAATAACAGACTTAAGATTGCCAAAGAGCATATGAAAGTTTCAGGTTGTACCAGTTCTTCAGTAGAAACATCCTGCTTGTCTTCTGTTGGGTTTGTAGATACCTCAGCTGTGCAAAGATCACCTGAATATACACATAAAATAAACTCGTTCAAATGTATTTTAGATCATAGTTCTAAAATATTTGGAAAAATTAAACATTTTAAAGTTGTTCAAACTTTATATTGACTCTCTGCCTTTTGGCAAAGAGACCGTTATCATCAGTAAAATGGTTGTTTGCTTTTATTAAGGTTCAGTAAATATTGCATTTATAATGTGTGAAGGAAGCAGATAAGCTAAAGCAAACCAGACGTTTATTTTTGGAGCCTTTTAATCACAATTGCTTGTCGATTTGCAGCTGCTCAAAAGTGGTTCTCAGATTGAACCATTTTCTCTCTTAAGTTTTCTGCACTTTCATTTAGGAAAAGTTGCTGTTAGCCCTTCACCTACATATAACAGCTTATTATACAAACTATGCTACAAGTATTTTTTTTTTTGGTCAAATTACACTCACAAAGTGGACATGAAGAGATCCTACTTGAGGAGGGAAATGTGCTTTATTTGGAAGCACTGGGTCAGATTTGAAAATAAAATATTGCCCATTTTGAATCAAGTGAAAGCTTACAGACCAGTTTCAGCTATTCTCCATTAATTATTGGTGCCATCCACTTTGTGTTTGTTCTCTGTTTTTATTTTTCCTTCTACTGCAGCTACAATTCTCATTTTCTTCTTTGTAGTCTCTTATGTTTTCTTTGAAGCCAAAAGGACACCTGGGACCAGCCTGCATGGATCATTTATACACATATATTGACTAGAAAGAATAATTCAATATTACTCAAATTAAGCCAATACTTGGGTCAAAAGTTATTAAATAATGCTTTACGGATTTTATTTTTTACCGCTTAGCCGAGAGACTGAATTTGACTGCATTGCAACATGATTTTGATGGAGTTGAATTGTTTGAAACTGGATGGAAATGATAATAAGATAATTTTGGAATTTACTAGGTTGATATTAACTCAGTGTGTTTGAAAATTAATTTTATTTAAATGGGGTGTCAAATTTGATTTGTTATAAAATATAATAAGATTTGTTATAAAATGGAGACATAGAAATAAATTGAGATTAATCTAAATTTAGTGTTTAAGAAGTCCTATGTGTGCAAAATCCTGCATAAAACCTTTAGCAGGCTCCTGCAAAGCCTGAAAGTTTCATACACAGCTTCAAGAAATGTCGCCTATGCTGAAAACTTCACAGCTGCCAAAAAAAATATCCATACTGTAGAGAAAGTAAATAAGAAAGCTGATGCATGGGGAATTTAAAAAAACATGACCAAATAAAGACTTCTGTGACTCACAAAAACAAACCTGTCTCTTACCGTTCCCTTGCTGTTCCTTCTTATCTCTGTTGTTACAAAGCGTTTTCAGGTACTCCTCTGACTTTTCGAAAGTGACTGAGCGCTTCCTCAGGCGATACTGCAGGTCTTTACTCAAGCTGTTCTTCATCATAGTTCTGCCTTCGTAAGCTTTAACCAGGTCTGCCTTCTCCATGGTTTTGAAGTCAGCAGTAGTGTGGGCCTTAGCGAAGCGACAGGCGAGCCCGTATTCGCATTTTCCAAATGTGTCGTAGAGGTGACAGCGCTCCCCGATGTCAGCGGGCTTAGAGGCCATGTACTCTGCCACATCGTGGTAAAAAATGCACTTGTCGCCAAACTTGCACGCAGCTTGGTTCTAGAAGGGTGAGAATAATCAATGTTATTGCTGGGATCTAAAATTATTTTGAGAAGGATCTTAAGAGTCCAGGAAGAGCGTTCTACCTGAATGACTGACATACACAGTCGCTTTTCTTCATAACTAGTGGGCTTTTTGTGCGGCCTTGACTTGTTCTGTCCCCGAAATTTTTTCTTATCCATTTTCTCTGTTTTCTTTGCATCTTCAGGGTCCAGCTTGGGTTTTTTAGATTCAGGTTCTTCTTCCACAGAGGGATCTTCTTTTTTCTCCAGAGGGGTGCAGTTTTCACTGGCCTTCTCTCCTTTGGAGTTCTGCCATTCTGAATCCAGAAAGCCATGAAATTTATCTTTGGTGGTGATAAATCTGCAGAAAAAGGGAGATTTATTATTTTTTTTTATCATTTTGTTCATAGCTCAAATGTGTTAATGAAATAAATCGGTCATAATGGCACAATAAAAAAAAATAAAAAAATAAAAACTCAAAACAATAACAATGCAGATTACCCAATTTGCATATGTAGAAGATTTTTTTAAATAAATGAAGTGAAATGTTCTGCTGAATTTGGCAGAAATGTAATGTATGCATCATTACTGGTAACGTAACATTACTGGTAAGGATGCACGACGATGAGCTACCATGTTGAAGCTGTTGTAATGTTCACTCTAAACAGTAGTTTTTACCAGTGTCCAGTGTTTATCAAAGCTTCTTACTCTTGTTTGATGGAAGCTTCTCCCTTTACAGCAGCATTTGTTGCTCTCTCTGTTGTGTCCTCCACTGACGCCTCCATGTCTTCACCCTGAAACAATGAACAAAAATCAACCGTTATTGTAGAACCAAACTGTAAATGTATTTTATCATTAAAATAATTTACTATGAAGTAAGCTACCAACTGAGTAGTTGGGTATTTTTATAAATGGTTTGCAGAACTGAGTCGGGCACGAGCAATCAGGACGTTTAGCTTTAGCACAGACCAAAGATTATTTTATTCAGACTCTGCATGCTAACAGTTATTTTGCTGGAGGTGAAGTAATGCAACCTAATCTCATTTTATATATTTATATTGATCAGGTTTTTCTCAAGACACTAATAGAAGATACTAATATTGTTTAATCGCCCAGTTTAAGAAAGTAATTCTGCTTTTTTGCTCCCCAACTTAATCATAAACCCATCTGTTGGTTCTTTATTACCAGAACAGCTTAATTTACCCTAAAACTGAATCACACCAAGATGGATTCCATTTACTGATTTCTAGATTTCTTATGACATCTGCTGGTACTGGATTTTATTTAGGGTAAATTAAAAACAAAATGGTTTAGATTTTTTTTTAAACCATACATAACTTTCCTTGCATCCTGACTTTCAGTGATTACATTTTGTAATCCTGTTTAATAGGAGACTTCAGCTGATATATATACATATAAGTGGACGCACCCATGCACCTTTTCCTCCTTATAGCAACTTCTTGTTTTTGATTCTTTGAACCGATGTAACTAGTAAATTTCTCTACTGTGAGATCAATAAAGTCAACCAATCAGTAATTTAAGAATTTGTCTTGCATTTGCACACAAACTTGTATCATTCTTAAATGCAGTCAAAATAACAATAACATTGTTTAATATTAAGTCCAACGGGACACAAAGTCTCACTTACCTGCTCCTTTAACAAATCAGTAAAAGCTACAGTATGATTTGCAAGTTAACTCAAAACTCTGCTAACAAGCTAACAACTTAAAGCACACTTTCCCGCACCGTAGCTCTTTATTTAATATAAAAGTGTAAATCAAACTATCTCGTCAAAACTTAAAACTACAAAGAAACCCGATTCAGCTGATGTTAGCAGTAATATTTCACGGTCTAACATGCCTTCAACACCGTGAGGTAAGAGCAGTGCAACCGTCTAATAATCCCGATAGTGGACGTCTACTGCCAAAAGGTTGGTTCCGCATGAGGCGAATGTAAAGAAAATTGGGCTATGCGATCTGAAACAGTGGCTTCGTTCTTAAAATACGTTTAAATTAATGAAATTTCTGAATGAATAAATAAAATTTAAATATGTGAATTTCATGTCTGTAATAACTGTTCATTTCCATGTAGAACATGGGAGGGCGCTGTTGCAATCTTTTTGTCTCTGGGCACATTGGGCTCTTTCATGCATATTATGGCCCTGACAAATTTTGGCAGCATCATTTGGAGGGCACTCCCCACAGCTGTTTGGAGCCTCTTGATTGATTGACTTTATTGATCTAACAGTGGAGAAATTTACTCTTTGCTCAATAGTCCACTGCACGCCTGTCCAGTTTATTATTTTTTTAACACTACCACGCCAATAGATTTCCTTAGCCAATCAGCTCTTTACATAAACCCACTGTGAAAAATAATAACAGTAAAATATGAAATATATAACTGTAAAAGCTATCCTGTGAGTCTGCTTCATCCAATATATATGAAAACAAATTATAACTGTGTTCTGTAATTATTAGATATTTTTCTTTAAACAGGACATTTTCTAAACTGCACTTTTTTAACTTATTCAAAAGGTCTAACCAACTTAGTCCATCATGACATGACATACACACAACATTTAAACAGATACACATGGATAAACCACTGACGTAAAAAGAAAAAAAAAACAACTCACAATTATTGAAATCAATTCAGTATCTTGAATGGATGCAGCTTTTATCTGTGTTGACGTAACAATGTATTGCTGGATCCTTGTTTTGCCACATGTCAAAAAAAAAAAAAAAACTTCATATAAACCTACAAATCTCCTCTACTTTGCAGCTGTAGGGCTGTTTCTCTTTCTTTTAAAAAACATTCTCCTTTTTTTTCCATTAAAATCTCTAGTGCCAGTGGGGTGAAATAGGCACTTCCAGGTTAGATTCTTCTAATTATTGTTATTCTTACCAAGAATAAAGTCAGGAGAATGAAGCTAAAGGGATACAAAAATAATCTTGGAATATTACAAATATTATTAAAAAGGTTATATAAAAAATATTACCAATATAAAGTATATTCTGAGATCTAATTGCTTCTGATACTGTTTAGGTGTCTGTGTCTATCAGCAGATTTGCCACATTCAACATGGTGGACGCTCTGATTCATCTGCAGAATAGGCAGACCCTGTCCGATGAGGCTTCCATGTATATAATGTCTATGGTTGCAGTGGCTACAGCCCACTGAGGATGCTCAAATTGTCCAATTCATCTAAGATGACAATGTGGGAACAAGGCTGTCTAAGTGCAGAGCATTGAGGAGATACCAGACACATGGAGGAGGTCATAGGAGGGCAACAATTTGGCAGCAGTACTGCTACCCCCCTCCTTTTATGAGGTCTAAATGAGATTATAATCTCTCATTCAGACTAGTATTAGTTTACACACCCTTTTCTAACAGAGGCCATCAAATTTCACTCTAAAACGTCTTGGTTCACGATACTACGCACTCTCAGAATATCCCAAGGGCCTGCAGAGGAGACACTGTGCCATAGTATCAAGGATTCTCCATCCTAAACAGTTTTACACAAATGTATCATTTGTTTCACTTCAAATGTTAATTTAATCTGACCAAAGCATAATTTCAGTTAATGCCTAAATTTTTACTTACTACCAATCTTTCCTTTTTTTTTTATGCCTGCCAAAAAAAAAAAGAAACTTAGGCCTGTGGATGCTATCTAAAGGTTGTCATGGAGACCCTAAGATGCTACTTTTTGCTGTGCTGAAAATTAGCATAGCTTTTCCTAAAATTTTTAACCATCATGTGTTGGAATAAATATGAATTTTTGGTCAGGGGCTAACAAAATTTGTATTTGTGTCAAACCATATTTTAACTCCAGGAAATCAGTAGGTAATGGTTTGTTAATCAAAAGCAACACTCGATTTTATTCAATTTAAAACAAACTATACATTGATTTGGTTACATTTATTTTAATGATACTATAAGTTTTGCAACATGTGATTTTGTAAAAAAATATATAAATTCAGTCATTTATTTTTTTTTTTACAAATAAAATACACTGAAATTGAATTCTCCAAAATTTCTATTTATGCTACTGCAATGAATTAAGAATGAGTCATAACCAGGTATACAAAGGAAGGCTTCATCCAGAAATATTTTTCAACAAAGTAAAAACTGCTGCATTCAATCCTCAGGCAAGGATGAAAGTTTTTCTATTTTTGCCACAAAGCGCTTCTTGCTAGTGTCCAGGATATGGATCCCGTTTTTCTCAAAATCATATCCAACCCTCTGCAGCTCTTTCAGTCGCTCTGTAATGTTCTGTGTGCTGTAATCCAGGACTTTGGGCTTCTCCAATATTTGCTTTATTGTTATGCCTCCTTTAAGGAGGCAGTCCAGTTTGGGGTTCAGAGTGGACGGCCCAATGTAGAGAATCATGGGATAGTTTATTATCAGTTTCTTTATGTCATTTTTCTTACAGCCCAGTGAAGACATCTTCTGCTCAAGGTTGTTCACGTTTTTCTTCAGATACTCATTGGAGAGGTCCAAAATGTCTGCCCCATGGCCCTGAAGCAGGGCAAGAAGTTCTGCATCACTTAATTTAAGCGAAGTCTTCAGATTATCAATGTTGGTTTTTACTCTTTTAGTACTTCTGATGAGGATATAGAGGTTTTTAGATATTACACTTTTAGCAAACTGTTCTGGATTCTTTCCACCTAGCTCCAGACAGATGTCCTCTAGAAGCTCCACCATCTGCTTGTTGAGCTCCAGGCTGTTGGAGAAAGTCCGAGGTGCTGTGGTCAGCAGCCGATGAAGGTCTTTGGAGTTTAATCCCAGCGAGATCAAAAAATCGATGTTCTTTTTCAGGTTCTCGTTGTCACTAGAACGGAAGAAAGACTCTGGCGAGCGGTCAAGGATGTTCACAATCTCAGCGTCCGTGTTAAAAACGTTCCTCCACAGCTGCCAGCGCTGCTCCAAGTGATCAGCAGAACGGGTTATGGCGCGGGGATAACGGGACACGATGCTGGCGATTACGTTGCGGCTGGCACCTTTTCCTTGCAGGAACTTGGCGAGACCCAACTCGTTGGTGAAGGTCTTACGTAGCACGCCTGGCTGACGTTGACGTGCCATCTTTACATCCACTCCCAGGAGATTTAGGTTCTCGAGCAGAGATTTGTTCTCTGTGTTAGACTGCAGCTGTTGTCCATTGCTGTCGCTATATTGCCGCCAGGAGAGGCGGGTTAAGGTCAGCTGTAGAGGAGCAAGCCTAAAGCTCTGACAAATGACTGAATGACGAACACTAATAAGGGTTCTTAGCCCAGAAACAGCTGCCATTTTTCCTAAGGAAGACTGGAGATCTGTTGAAGAAAAAAAAAACAAAGATATATTATCCCCATTTATTTTTCTATAAATTAAAAAAAGAACTTAGTAAAGACTAGTAAGTTGTGAGAAAAGAACATTTTGACCGAATCATCAAATTTAATTCTCACTGATCACAACCAACCTATTAAAGTCCATTCTTTTTAATTTACCTGGATCTGACATAATTATGTATACAAGAATAATTGATTGCAACATGTACTTTACAAGTATTTTCCACCCATCACATCATAATTTTTCCACATTAATACACATAACCTCAAACTGAATTTAAAATATTACAAATGACTAATTAAAAAAAGATTTCCCTGAGAATTAAAACTGTTCTAAGAAAACAAATCTCAAAATTGATAAGACAAATCAAGCAAGGGAATTATTCATTCAGATTTCCAGCTAAGAGGATCATAGTAACCGGTGGAGTTAAAAGTTCAACTGAAACCAAAACTGTAGGTTTATTATTAGCACGACTTTCTTTAGCCGCTTGCCTATTTAAACCCTAAAGTCTATGTAAAATGTTCGATTTAAAAATTACATAATAAATAAATAAAAGCGAAGTTTTTATTGTTAAAATTTATAACAAACATACCATATTTTGTTTTGTTATTTTTCCGAGTACGCTCAATTTACTTTTGCTTTTGAACAGCAAAGCGGAAGGGAAAACTTGTAGGAAATCACGCGAGATTTTGAATTTTAAAGGCAATCGTCAGAACTATGCCGCCTAGCGTCTTGGAGCTCTAAGTTCATTTTTTTCTGCCAGCAGGTGGCAGCAAGGGATTTTTAATAATTGGACAAAGGGAGGGACAACAAAAAACAAATAAATTCAATAAAATAAAACATCCCAACAAGATGGGGCTAACTGTGAAAGGGAATCATTTGTTTCTTTAGATAAAAGGCTTAAATCAATATTACTTTAACATTTATAACCCAGATCCTGTTAACGTTCAGTTTTAAGATTTATATGATGACATGATCATTAACCAACTTCAGTTCATATCCAACTATTTCAAAAACATAGAGTCCACACAAACAAAACTAATTGTATGTTGTGCATCCTTCTTACTTTTATATTACTTGTAACAAAGCATAATGAGACTAAGAGAATAAGGGACCTCCCAAAAAGCTTACAGTAATTAATACAAAAAACAACAACAAAAGTATTATTAGGTAAAAAAAAAAAAAAAAAATTAAATACATATTAGTAATTATCTATGTGTACAGTGATAGTAAATCATGTAAAGGCTCAGCAATGATACCATGATTGTCCTGAGGCCTCATTAAACTACAAAGAGAACTTTCCCAAGGCACAAAGGATGCACTCATTTGGTGAAGAGAGAGATAACGATTAAAGCCCAACCTAGCAGTTCAAGCATTAAACCACAAACATATGTTTAGCAAAGACTGAAAAATAACCCTTTAGTCATCAAAACAACTACCGCATAAAGTCCTCTCTATATTAAAGAGTTCTGATCACTTTATACACTTTGTATACACTCCGTGACACATGGCATGTGTTGTGAATTGGCACTATATAAATAAACTGAACTGAACTGAACAGTGACTTTAGGAATGGTATGCTAAATCACATGTCTGCAAATCAAGCACTCTGTAGTGATGCTCTAAAGAGCATTGGGTCTGTTGATGTCATGTGGAGCTATCAATAAAGGTTATTAGGTTATAGAATTCAAAGATTATTTTCCATTTTGTTTTTATCTAAATTTAATTGAATAACAAGTTTTTAAAAATTAAATTTTTTGAAAACCTGGGTACTCATACTTATTATCTTATTATAGTTATATTACCAATCTTTGCCACTTTTTCTGTGTTATTTATACATCAACCTAAAATCTCTCTCCCAGTCTATTTTTTGAAACCCCATCATATGTGTAAAAGCCAGTTTGTAACATTAATCTGAATTTTCATTGCACATATTTCTGCTAAATATTTCTTAATACACATTTTGAGATTTTTTTTTTATATTACATCATACTGTGATCCCAGACAAGGGAAAATAAAGCCATCATATTTGATATAACTAGCTCAGTTCATTTTAGCCACACGAAGAAGCTTTGTGTTGAAGCCTGCAGCTGAAAAACCTATTGACTGGACTGCCTCTCTTACTGATGAGTCCCAGCACTTATGAATATTTTACAGCCGAGTAAGAGATAGCCTTATCATGCTTTCACTCTGCTGCTCTGATGCTAAAGTGACCACTGTTTCAGTCGCAGTCTCCTCTGCAAAGCCAAAATGGAAAAGTGTATTTTTTTTTTTTTTTTTGCTGTTTTGAGCAGCTCATACAATGTCCTTTATTTCTACAAATGTGATCAAAACCTGTTTCCCCTGGAAGTAAATATCAGTCCTGTTTATTAAATCCAGTTTTGATATAAAGCTGAAGCTTAGATAGCAGCTGTCTTCACATGTTCCACTTCTCGTTGAGAAAATAAAAGGGAGCCAAAACTAAAGCTATTTTCTTTTTTGTTGCCTGACATATATTGGATCTAGTCTTGTTTTTTCATTTAAACACAAATGTGTGGTTACCAAGGAGACAGAAAACTAATAGAAACAAGGACATTGTATATTTTTCTAATTTTTATGGAAAAGAGACAACATAAAACAATTACACTGGTCTTTGCTCTAAGCTCCCACTTTGCTTATTTAATTCAAAAGCATTTTCCAAATACAGTTTTGATGGAAATCGTAAAGATTTTTGCCTCATCCATGCTATATAAGTTCTGCTGAATCCCTAAAGAATTATTATTTTTTACTGTAAGATTAATGGTAATTTCAAATATTCATAATTCATACAAAGTTTTTTTTAAGCTAGTTTATTAATTTGAATGCATTTAACTCAGCACGATCTTAGTGACCACTTTACTTATATATACACCATTTATGCTCCCAATAAGGACATAAAAAATATATTCTTTCTTTACATTTCACATTTACCAATGTTTATAAGAGGCTTCCACCAACATTCATAGTATCAAAATGCTCTGATCAATTGTAAGAGTGAAATTATTTTAGTTTGCCTGATACTAAATATTCCAAATATTGCTTTTTTATCAAGAACCTTTAATTTAATGCATTAAATGTCTCATAAAAGTAGTTTCCTTTGCACTGTACTTGAAAGCTGTTCTAAACCTTTACTATAAATAGTAAATAGCAAATACAATGAATCAGAAACTCTTTCTTCAATTGAATGTGATATAATATATGATAACATTAAGATAAAATATCTAGGACTAAACACAGAGCCTTGTTGAACACCACAAGTAACCCTTAATAAATCAAAGTTTAAATAATTGATCTTGACATGATGTTACCAATTATTCAAGTAACATGTTGTTAATATTCCTCTGTTATTCATTTATGTTAATGTATCTTTTACTTTTTAATTAGCTCTCTTTGATAAATACTTAAAAAAGTTCCTAAAGTCAATAAATTCCCTTATTTAGTTTCTATATCTACAATTATATGCATTAGTGACACTGAGGTGGGTTTATTAGCTTGAAATCTACCCAGATAGTCAGTAGATAAACAATGTTTCTCTATTAACTATGCAAAAACAGCTTTTAAATAAGAAAATTAAAACAGCTGTCAGCTTGTAAAACCTGCGTTATTCTATGTAAGGGAAGTACAACTGTAGGCGGAGCTTTGGCAATAGAGTTAAGTGTCAGGGTTTAACTTGAGATCGCAATCATGTAGCTGGTTGTTTATCCATCAAATAAAGTAAAATAAAACCTGCAAATTTGACACTGGCCTTTGTTTACATTAAATGTTTATTTCTTTTTGCAGGAAGAGTTTCATTTTCTCAGAGTTCTTTTCCTTTTTTTTTTTTTTTTAGCAAATATTAATTGGGTCATGTATGAATTTGTGGGCAGTGGTGTTTTTAACATTACATCATCTCCTTTCTTGATCTATTTGTTGTTATCCACTCTGCAAAGTTGCTTGGGTAACTGCAATACACAGTACACAACCAGAGAGAATGAATAATTGAGGAGGTGCCGAAACTTTCAGATGCTGGGGGTTTGTCATGAAACGCTGCTGCTCAAGCAGTAGGTGTTCCCAGGTGGGAGCACGTCAATAAAAAATGTCCAAAAGACGATGGGTGGAATTCAAGATCTGCCAGACTATAAGCTGTTCAGCGCCAGTCGGCCGAAGGCGCAGAGCATCTTCTCCTGCTACCTCTTCAGCCGCCGCAGGTATGTTTCAAAACAGAATTAAGGAGCAGAAGTGAAATAAAGATGTGTAATCAAAGGTTATATTTTTAGGAGGCCATGGACTGAGTTTTCTCAAAATTGTATTCCTAATTTTAAATTTACTCACAAAAAAATTGGTCTTCTTGCAAGTTTGGAGACTGCAATGATATAAAGCATATAAATTAAATCAAAAGCAAATATGTGATATATTGTCCTACTGACTGGTATTAACCATCTTCTGGCTTGTCTCGACACTAAAGCAGTAAGAACTAATGTAGTCAAGGTCATTTATTTTGTTTTGATTAAGTGCCCTGATGTTCTTAATGTAGAAAAACGGTGTATATTTTTTATATACATCATTAGGTTACCTACTGCTCATATTAGCTAACATAACCACCATGTAAAATGACATACTCTCAAGGGTTCCTATTACCGGTAGTTCTTACATTTTAGCTGCATTTTCTATGTAGTTTGGAGTCTGTCTGAGAAAATTCTCATTGTCTTCTCCTTTATCACTCCCATCTGTTGTGGAAACTGAAGCTAATGTCTCATGTTACCCACAGCCTGTTGGGAAGGATGCTTCCTAGGAATGAGCTCAGTGTTGTTTATTGATATGTCTTTATGTGAAATGTGAGGTAATGGCTGAGTTGTCTATATCCAGCTTACAGAGAAAGCAACCAATGTCTGAACAGAAAAGCTCAACTGGGACAGCTCTGACAGCCTATCCCCCCATTACCATAGAAACCAGGCAGATTAAATTATTCTACAAATACTGCAGTCAAATTTGTAGCATCACAGACAGATATGTTTTTATCATTAAACTGCATTGTTGTTAATTATGTGATTCATCACAGAATGATTAAATCCTGATATTATTAATGATAGCACAGTGTCATTGTTGCTTTTTCTCTTTTTTCCTCCAAACTAATTAGAACATGACAGTGGGTGAACAATTGGTGAGTTTTAAGAATTAACTGTTACCTCAGTGCATATTTACTTAAATAAGCCATATACACACCAATTATCTGTAATTTATAATTTATATATATATAGATGTAGTTAGTCCAGATGAAAAGGAATATCCTCCTTGATTTCTGCAGTTTTTACTTTTTATAGTTCTTACATGTTTCAATTCATCAAACCCATTTAAATATTAACCCAGATAAATAGAAAATTTGTTGGGTTTCTTTTCTCAAATTATTTTTTTATACTTTATTTCAAGATTTCAAAAGAAAAATCTATTTAGGCCCACCTATGTTGTAACTGTGTGATAAAACAACTGCTTCCATAACCTAAACAGTGGCTTGTGCCTCTTTTGGAAATAGCAAATATTCTTTGTGAATTTTGTTTAGAACAAAGAAAGAAATGTGAAACACGACATTGATCACACTGTTAAGTATGTGGACAATATAAAATGCTTTAGAGCACAAAACACATTAAGCCTTTGAGATACCAGGCCATTTTAATTAAGAATCTTAATTGGCCGAGTCAACAATCCCAAAATTTGGGTGTCATTTGGTCTTTCAACTCAAGAAGAAAGAAAAGAAGAAATACAAAATTGTATGAAATATTAACCCTCTTGGTCCTAAGAGTAAAATCCCATAGCAGCAAAACAGATCAGTGCAAACCAATAATCTGGAAGAATGGTCACACCCCTCCATATCTAAATGGTACGACCTTCCATATTTTTGCAGAAGCCTAAGTACTATAATTTTAGCAAAATATTGCTGAACTATTAACAGCATTTTGTGAAATGCTGTATAAGCTGCAAACACTATAATGTACGGAAGAGGATTAGGGCAACTGAAAAAAAAAAAGTTAACTGATTTTTAAATTTTATTTCAGTTTAACATGGGAAAAAAGTCAGAATTCTGACTTTTTTCTCAGAATTCTGACTTTAATCTCAGAATTCTGACTTTTTTTTTCATGTTAAACTGAAATAAAATTTAAAAATCAGTTAACTTTTTTTTTTCAGTGGCCCTAATAATGAGTGCAGGCAAGCTTCTTAAAAAAATGTGAAATGGCCCTTTAGTCTTGCCCTAATCAGATTACTAATCAGGTACAAATATTATTAGCCTCTAGCAGTGTGCACCCATATATGGATAAGATTGGACAGCCTCTTCATCAGAAGATGCCAATCAGTTTGGGAAGCTTTAACGTTCACAAAAAACACAGTAAAAAAAATTCTAAGACAAAACCACTTGCCATACTGGGCGTCCGGCAAATTTCCAATGGGCGTGGCTATGAATGCACCTACTCGACGTCATTTCAGTTGAGTCTCATGTTTACGTGGAAAATATGGCGGCGGACTACAACCAAGGGGATAGCTTGTGATTCCAAGCCAAGCCTTTAGGGAGACAGTCAGCTTTTCGCTGCGAGACTTCGCTGTCGGCTGGAATATTTCTTATGAATGAAGCAGTTTTCTTCTTGTTTCAGCCACGGAGACAGCAGGAATGGAGGACGAGGAGAGACAGAAGAAGCTAGAGGCCGGCAAAGCTAAGGTGGGATTTAAAAGTCCTGAACATGTCTTACTGCTCCAAAGTTCTGCAAATTGTTCTGGACGGACTTGTCTTTCCGTGGTTCTGTTCGTCAGCTGTTTTGACCCCCCTCCTCTTCTTCATACCACCTTCTCAGCTGTCATGCGCCCTGCTCTGTCTGACAGCTGAGAGGGAGGAAGGAGGGGGTTAGCTGCTGCTACTGCTAGCCAAGGCTGCCTTTGTCATGCCTCATACCTGACATTTTTTATTTATTAAATGCTTTCTGTTTCTTTTCTTTAATTGAACAAGTTACACTGTTAAATAATTAGTTTACCCTTTGCATCGTTCTTTAGGGCTTATAAAAGGCTTCTGATGAGCCAGTCACATGCTGGTGTAACAGGATTTACAGGGTATATCCCTCCTAGTTAGATGAAGCCTTGTTTTACCTGCCAGAAATGCCCTGCATGGTTTAACTAAGATAAATATGCAAGGAGAGGCTCTCTATGGTGTTTAGTGTAGCCCATTGAATAAAACATTACAAAGAGTTGAAAAATAATTGTTTGTTTCTTAAACTGGATGGGTTTGAATAGTATTTTTAAAACTTCTTTTAATAAAAAAAAAAATGACAGCAGCTGAAGAAATCCCAGGCTATGATGTTTAAAATACTAATCCTCATGTATCATGTTTGTCAAAATATCTCCATAAAGGCTGAATCAGATCTCTTAAGACCAGCAAGACTGGTAGATCAGTTGATACTAAATGAACAATTTGATCCAGCTGTATTACACATTTACTAATGGATAGAAGTGATATTACACAGAAGCATCAAATACAGCCATGATAACATGGCTGTATTTGAGTATTTTAACATAGTTGGTTCTCAGTTCCTCTAGTGTGAAAATAAAGCTGTGATTGTTGTGTCTAGGTCTTGATAAAACTTGTGGCTGCCCACTGAAGGTCAGCTGGCTTCAACTAGGCTGTAACACTTTTATTAAGGTGGTACTTTTTTTTAAAGGTATGAGAAGCTTGTCTCGTTTAATCCCACCAGAAGCTGTTTGTTTGAGCAGCAGAGAAGACAAACAGAAATAAAAAAGTACTGACCGGATAGCAGCTAATAGCAGCTTGATTTACTTGAGACTCTTGTTTACAACAGAACTTTAAAAGGGTATATTATTCTGCAAAATGCACTTAGAAACAAACTTTATTGTTGTTTTTCTTTTCTTTTGTTTGCCTTGGTTGAACTATCAGAGTCAAAATAACAATAAACAATTAGTACGGTAATCATTATTGAATTATGTTTTATTATTTTAGCTATATATTATATATTATGTTATATTAGCTATTATAGGAATTATTTAAATATTTTTTTTGAATACCATCAGTTGGATCATGTTGAGCAATTGAAACGTGCAAATTAGTGTGAAATCCTGGTGGCTTTCTTCAAGGCAAAAATATGTGGACAATCTGAGTGTCGAGATGCTCGGAAATCTGGTGCTGTGCATGATAAGGAAATTATAGTAAATTTTGTCAGAAAGACTTATACATCTTCAATGTGGTTTGAGCATCCAAGAGTTCTTATTTTATTTAATATTTGAGCTTTTAAGTGAACTGAATTTATAGAGAAAATCTCCTCGGTTTTCCATCTTGTTTTTTTTTTTTTGTTATGAAAGGCCCCTTGGTTCTGTAGGCTAGTCTGCAGTGCCTGTATTTTTTATTTTGTTGTTTATTTTTCCTCAGTGCTATGTCACCATGTCCTCACATGCACTAAAGAAATCACGGGGGTATTTTTTTTTTGGTGTGGTTGTTAGATCAGACCTTGCAGGGTTAGATAAAAGTGTGATAAAGCTGCTTCAATTCTAAAATTATGGAAATTCCTTCTTTGAAATTCAAGTAAACAACGCATGTGCTTCTTTGTCTCGAAACTCATGCAGGAATATATCTGAATGTGAATTTGAAGATAAAACTTACGCTCTTGCTTTTCTCTCTTTAACAATTGAATTTGGCAATGATGAATGTTTTGAATCAAGCAAACGATGAGAATTTGTTGAGTCACTCCAGACAAGAGGAAACTGGAAATTGTGGGCTGCTGTTGCCATAGAGTTGTTCAAGGTTGGAAGAATGCTGTGTTTTATTTTTTGTTTCACTTCAGAACTAAACATATTGACAAGTATTATGCCATTATGGTGATATATGAGCTGGGTTTATTTCCTTAATATCTGTGAAAAATAAGCTTTTAACGTCATTTGCTTTAGTATCTTTGTTCTTTTATTAATAAAGATCCTTTATGATCTGTTCAAACATCCATTCAACGATCCCATGAAATAACCACATTAAAATTGAAGGTAAGACCTTCATAAGACTAAGGTCATTTTGGTCGATCATCTTTACTTTGCAATAATCTTTCTTAGGCTTCCAGTTGGTCTAAAAGGTCAATTTCTCTGTCCGGTACTCTTGCTGCTTTTAGGACAGCTGATCTTCTTAACTTAGGCCCTAATCAGTCAGCTGGATGCATCCTGCCTGTCTCTGTGTAACAACCAGACTATAACTGGCACAGATTACGTAGCCGATTAATTGGCTCAGTTGACTCTTTTACTTTTATGATTTAGTGGCACAATTCCAAAATACTTAAACCTGTGTTTAGCCATTCTGTGTTGCTTCAAATGGTATTGATCAGAAAGAACTCAGATGCTATGTACTTACTTTAGTTAACCTACAGCGTCTGATAGTTTTCAAATCATGATGGCCTCAGGTAGTGAATCATTGTGAAGAAGAAATAATGCATGTCCCAAAACACAGCTTTCCATGATCAAACATGGTGGTGGCAGCACCATGCTATGGGAATGTTTTTTTTCTGAGCATGGATAGGGAGAGTGGCTAGAGCTGATGGGGAATACAGGAAAACCTAAAACAAAAATGTTAGATGGTGAAAAGACTTAAAACTGGTAAAAATACTGCAATCAAAGCTATAATGGTTTGAATTAAATTACGGTAATGTTTTCTAATGGCCTAATTAAAATCAGGACACAAAAACAACTGATTTTAGATTTTTATTTGGAGACAGTTTACATCTGATTTGACTGAATTTGAGCAACTTTTATGTTTAGTTTTCTTAAAAACAGGGACAGGAACCAGTCGGTAAATGTGCCGTTAGAAATATGTCCAGAACACTCAGAGTTGTGACAACAAAAGATCTTCTGTAATGTACTGAGTAAGCAGGATGAATACACAGATAGGAAAAATATATAGCAAAAAAAAAGAAAAAAACATATGTAAAAAAAAAAAAGGCTCTAATTTTCTCCCACACTACAAATCTGCACTTTTTTTGATGGTCTATCACTTAATCACCAGAAGATGCATCACAGTTCTGAAAAGTGGCAAATTATGGAAAGTTTTAAGGGGGTATGAAAAGGATTTTATGGGAGCAGGACCCGGTTAGTGATAAAACATAAATTTTCAGCTGAAACATTTCAAAATTACCAGTTTTCTTTCTCATATAAAAAGTCTCAGTGAGTCCAGGTGAGGATGCAGAGGAATCCTCCTGTACATTTCCAATGTTTTAACATGTTGGTCATGAACTTTAGAGGGCCAAAACACAGCGCCTGTTTTCCTAGCTTGCTTTGTTAAAAATCTAAAAGCTTAAACAACTTTATTGAGGTTCGATCCAAGCAGGAGTATATGACTATGGTGTTGAGATCGAACAATACAAGATTTTTAAGGTCGATACTGATCATTTTGACATAATTATAACTGATTCCTGATATGTGCTGCCGATATTTTTGGGCCAATGCTTGTAGAAGAAATGGCTTTTTCCTTTCTCCATTTATATAATAAAAAGTGACTTATTGACAACACATTTTAAACAGGTCTTAATTTAACCAAAAAAGAAACCTATTCTAACAGATTGAAGAAAACACTAACAATTTATTTAAAATAGAGGGGGGTGGCAATGCATCTACTGCACATGATCACAAGGCAAACCTTTTACATCAAACCAAAATGTCGTCCAGCCGATTAAACAGCCAATCTCTACTAAGCGGCCTAGTCATGTACCATGACTGAAAAATGCAACTAAAAAACAATCAGCAGATAAACAATGTTAAGCTCTCTCTGCTGGCTGCTTATATTACCAAAAGCGAACTTGATAAATGGGCTATAATGGACATTATGTACCATAAACCTCTCCCTCACTTTAACTAAGGGCCCAGGAATAACATTGCTATGAAAAGTATCAGTAAGGCCAGCCTGGCAGCTTCTTCCTTCTGCTTATTTCAGTGAACTCTAACATTCATGTGGTTTTCTGAGTACTTCTCTTGTCTCATCCTATTTTGCATCCAATAGTTTGTTGAGCTTTATCCCTCTTGATCTCGGACCTGTGTTTCTTTTCTCTTTTCTCACCTCCATTGAATTTTGCTGATTTCAGCTTCATCGTTTCTCCTGCAGACTTAACATCTGTCTGTGGCTCTTATTTGTTTACTCATTGCACACATGTGCAACATCGTACCTTCAATCATAGGGTTTTGATATGGTAAATATTGAGGCAAATTGAGACTAATGGAATAAGGGGCTTCCCAAAAAGCTTAACTAAGAAAGCTTAATTGATTATTGAACTAAATTCTGCCTTTAGTTGATTGAGCACTTAGAGCAGTTGTTATACCAAAATGTTAAAAACGTACATATAAACATTTAGCATTCAAGATAAAAAAAACTTTTTTGTCGGTCAAAAAAATAATATTCTTTAAGGAACCTTTTTCTCTTTGATTATTAATCAAAAAGATTAATCAATTAGCAAGATAGTCATTAGTTATACCCCTAATAAATATACAAAAAGCAGGTTGTTTACTAAAATACAGAGCAAAAATAAAAGTGT